TTCTCCATAAAACAGTCTTTTTTTGGTAGGCATATGTTTTGCATTTGAACAATGTGGCCAGACCATCGCAGTTGCACTCTCTGAAGCAGTTTGAATGCTTAGCAGTTCAGCCCTAGAAAGGACCTCGGTGTCTGCTACCTATCTTCCCAAGACAATTCAGATGGAAGCAATTCAGTTTCCTGGCATGGCGCTGGTAGACTGCCCGGGTTTCACAGGCACACAACAAGGAGGTCAGCACAACGGCTCTGCAGACCTTCAGTTTGGTAGTCAGCCTAATACCTCTTCTCTCCTTTTGGAGCTTCACAAACACTGAGCTAGCTCTGGCAATGTGTGCGTCAACCTCATTATCAATGTGTACATCCCTAGAAAGTACACTGCCAAGGTAAGTGAACTTATCCACAGCATTCCAAACTTCTCCATTTGCTGTAAATGATGGTTTCAAGTATGGACAGTCTGGTGGTGGCTGATGGAGCACCTGTGTTTTCTTGGTATTAACTGTCGGGCCAAAATTAGCACAAGCAGCAGAGAACCAATCCATGCTTTGTTACATCTCAGCTTCAGAGGCTGCATTGAGTGCACAATCATCCGCAAACAGAAAAGCATGCACCAACACTCCCTATGCTTTGGTCTTGGCTTGTAGCCTTTCAGGTTGAAGAGTTTACCACCAGTGGGGTAGCTGGCCTTGATGTCATGGTCATCCTCGTTGAAAGCATTTGACAACATGGCTGAAAACATCATGCTAAAAGCATGGGAGCAAGCACACAGCCTTGTTTCACTCCATTGGTGCCTGGGAAAGTGAGGGAGCCTTGTCCGTTATCCAGAACCCAGGCAAGCGTGCTGTCATGGAAATGGTGTACAATACTGATGAACTTCTCCAGGAAACCAAGTTTTGACATAATTTTCCACAAGCCCTCACAACCAACAGTATCAAAAGCCTTGTCAGATCTACACACGTTGTGGAAAGACCTCTGTTCTGCTCCTGGCATTTCTCCTGGAGTTGTCCCAAGTTGCCCAAGATAAGGCCAAAATCGGTCCATGATTTAGACTAAAGTGTGATGCCATAAGCAAATTAGGAGAGCAAGGAATCGTTTAGGTGTCAGATCTACGGAAGAATTGATTACCGCTTTGTAATACAGCTTGAGATCCAGTATGGCTAGGCCACTTCCTGTGTTTTGAGGGGCTTGTTAACAGGATTTTTACCAAGCCAATCACTAACCTGGGAATCCACAAAGCAGGCCCAGAGACAGGAGTGCCAGTAATCAAGTGGTTTAACTAATCAACTTCCGAGTGAGCGATGTTCTCATAGCTGAAATAAAAGCACAGGTTATATGCCTAAAATCACACATGGGGAAAGAGGAGGGAAGACTGATTACAGTCATTTAGTGGTTTCCCACAAGAAACCCCCAAGTCCCACAACACAATTCTGGAGTCAAGTCTTTGTGGGTTGTGACCACCTCCCCTAGAGGACAGAACCAGAGTTCTGTGATGGGAACAGATTCGACGATTATTGATTTGCTTCACTTAAGGTCCAGTGACGGTGAGCGTTGTCAGAGTTTTGATTAATCAGTTTAGGCTGCACTGTGAGCTGACCCCAGAGTCAGAGAGGCAGCACTTAAGGAAACTAAATTATTAGTATACTTATTACACATGTCATATCAACTAATATGAAAATTATAATTCCCTTCTCAGATGCATAAGAGTCATTAGCTTCCACTTGCCCAACTCTGATTTTTAAGGAATTATTTTCTTCAGTAAACTTTTGTAACTTCTTTTCCATTTGGACAATTCTGCTTTTTAAGGAGTTGTTTTCTTCAGTGGATTTTTATGTTTCCTTTTCCAAGCTGTTGACTCTTTTTTCACGATTCTCTTGCATAACTCTCATTTCTTTTCCCAATTTTTCTTCTACCTCTCTTACTTGGGTTTTAAAATCCTTTTTGAGCTCTTCTAGGAGGACTTTTTGGGCTTGAGCACAATTCATATTCCCCTTTGAGGGGGCATAAAGGCATTTTGACACTGTTGTCCCCTTCTGAGTTTGTGTTTTGATCTTTCCTGTCACCATAGTAGCTTTCTATGGTCAGGGATTTTTTTGGTTTTTTTTTTTTGCTCATTTCCTAGCCTATTTCATGGCTTTTCAAGCTGAGTGCTGTTCCTGGGGCACAAGGGGGCACTGTCCCAAGCATCTTGCACTGGGGGCCAGGGGCTTGCTGGGGTTCTGGGGCTAGCAGCTCACCTGTTGTGCTGGGGTGGCCTGGCCTACTCTCACCTGTTGCACCCAGGCTTCCGCGGCGGTGGAGGCCTCACAGCTGGTCAGCTGTGCTGCTGAGTTGGGCCACTGGGCCTCCTTTGCTGATTTGTGCTGGGGCTAGGCACCTCCTGCTGGCTTGCTCAGACATGATCTGTGCTGTGCCATCCTCCCTTTTTACCCAAGTGAGACAGACCTTCTGTGCAGTCTCCATTAGTTTTCTTGGGCTGGAAAATTGTTTCACCCCATCCTTTTGTGGGTTCTGTCACTCCAGAATTTGTGTTGAGGCTTGATTTAGAGTTGTTTTGAGGGAAACTGGGGAGAGCTCAAGGAACGCCCAGCTTTTTCTAAGCCACCTTGTCTCTGCCTCTGAGGAGTTAATTCTTCTAAGGATGCAATTGCATTATTTTAGTTTTCCAAATTAACAGCATTTCTTACACAATGTTTTCCCCAAAACCCCAATGAGAAAAACTAGAAACATAATAAAATTACATAAACAATGTTACAGATTTTAAACATGAAATAAAATTGCTAGTTAAATGATATCAACGCATTTGAATGCATTTCTGAATTATCTCATGGGGAAAAATCACTTTATCCATCTATCAATTTTGACACTCTAGACTGATAATATTTAGAAAAGAATAGAATAATTTTGATCCAATTAAAATTCTTATTCTTTAGTTCTGATTCTTACAGTTCCTAAACATATCACCTTACTGTTATTTTTTGGGGGGGGGGCTTAGGCAATAGGGTGAAGCTAATAAGCTAGTAAGTGTCAAGCATCTGAGGTCAAATTTGAACTCAAGTCTTCCTGAATTCAGGGCTGGCGCTCTATCCACTGCCCCATCTAGCTGCCCCCGTAATGCTAATTTTTAAGTGTACTTTGCTTTAAGGTCTGATCCACCTGTAGAGGGTCAAACATTCCAATCATTCCTATGGAAGGACACATCGGACTTTCAATGAGTCCACAGTCTAATTTAATTTAGATTAGGAGAAACTCAGTCCAATCTGAATCTCCATTTACAGTTTCAAAGGGTCTACAGAATCCCAGTTTTCCCAAGGGCCATTTGCTGCCAGCATCTCCAAGTACAGCCCCTCTGCTTTCAGAGCGTCTGGTGCCTACGTTCTATCTTGGCAGCCTTTCTGCTCAGAATGGGGAGGCTCTGAGTCCCAGAGCAGGGGGAGGGAGGGAAGGAGAGGGTGGAGAGATGGGGGAGGAGCAGCTGTCAGAGATCGCTGGCCTGGTGGGTGGTGCCCAGGTGGAATACAGCCTGGGCTGGAGTTTGGGACCTGGGAGGAGTCTAGGGAAGATCATTCCAGCAGCAAAGGCATTCCCTGTGACAGCAAGGTGGCCCTGGGTGTGATTGGAGGACAGGGCTCATCCTCATTGGAGGACAGGTCCTTGGGGGCTGGGCAGTGTGGGGCCCCTCCCAGAGTGCACTGGCGGGAAGCAGGAAGCCTTGCCTCTGAGACTGCTGTGCCGTCTTCCCTGGGGCTGAGATCCCTTTACCTTCGGGAAGCCAGCGCTGTGGGTGCAGGTCGCAGGTAGGTTAGAGCCAGGGCCCCACACAGGTCCTGCCTTCTCCTCCCTGCCAGTGTCATTGGGTCCCATCTTCCTCATCTGACCTCATGGTGAGTGTCCTCCAGGCCCTCCAGCAGCATGCCTGCCTCCCTGCCCTGGCCAGTGGACAAGCTGCCCGGCCCTAACTCATTTCCAGACTTCCAACACTTCCCAAATGTCCAGCGTCCCCCTCCGCAGATTTCCCATTGGGTCACACTTTCCCAGACTTCAGACTTTGCCCATAAGGACCCAGAAGTCCTGCTTTCAGCCTTCCTATCAGGACCCTGGAGTCCTGTCTCCCTGCCCTGAGCTCCTGTCTTCAGACTCAGGACCCCGCAAGGATCCAGGAGTTCCACCTGCCCTGAGGACCCCATGTTGGATGCAGGAACCAAGCTTTTTCCTGGCCCTTCATCTGGATCCACAGCTCTCAGGCGGCTTCCCTCTCAAATCCCAGGCACGCAGCTCCCTGTCTCCACTTCACCTTTAGGGATTCTGAGCCTAAGCTTTACCAGGGGGTCCCAGGAGTCCTCCCTGGCCCCCAGTTAGACCTCAGGACACAGTCTCCTTGCTTTCCCAGGCTCAGTGTCCACCTGGAGCCCTTCTGTCACTCTCAGGACCCTGACCTCCCTGCCATGTACTGTGTTAGAATGTGCTGCCTCCCAGCCCCTCCCCCTGCTCTCTTTCCCCAGGCCTCCTGCTTCCCTGCCCCCACTTCTTTCAGAGCTCTCAGGTCCCCTACCAGGGGGCTCAATCCCAGACTGAATTTTCTCTCCCAATCTCTAGCTACCCCTGGTCATTCCCTGGTGGCTCCATCCCAGAGCCCTCCCCATCCTCTGCCTTCCCTGGTTTCCCTCCCCTCTAGATCAAGCAGTCAGTCTGTTATCTAGATAATGTGTATGTTGGTTGGGGAGAGGGGATGCAGGGAGGGCAGAGGACCAGTTGGAGGGAGAGCTCTGGTTCAGGAGCCATTGAGGCTCTGACTGGTCTCATCCCATCTGAGATCCCAAATCCTTTCTGCCTTTTGGTTCTCTGTGGGAGGTTGGGGAATGAAGGAGGGAGAAGAAAGGGAGGGAAGTAGTCTTCCTGTTCAGACCACCTTCATTTCCAATTCTGACCCTCCCTCTGCTCTGAGGGCAGGACCAGGGCCTTTGTAACCCCTGTAGGACCTCACCCTCTGTAAATCCCTGTAGGCCAGCCTCCTGCCTAGGAAGAGAAGGGAAGGACATTTCCCCCTCTGGGGTTCTTCTCCCTCCCCAGCTCAGTCTGCAGAGGACCAAGGCCCACCCCAAGGACGGAACCCAGAGCCAGAGAGAATGGCCTCTGGGAGCCACAGACCCCCATTTCAGGTGAGTGCAGTCCGTCCACAGACTTGACCAACCTCAGCCATCCAGGCCATTTCTATAGGAACGTTCATGAAGCTGGCAATGCCTTCCCTGTGGATCATTTCTTTATAAAAATAGGCATGAAATGAATACAGAAGTAACCACCCTGCTCTGCTCTCTGTCTGTTTTAAACTGATTCGTTGGCACCCTGGCATCTGGAGAACTAACCCCCTTCCCTCAATCACTGCCTCCCTGGTTTGTTTTTAAGGTTCCCTCATTACCCTGCTGACCAGGACGTCCACTTCACTCCTTAGGCTCTTCCGCAGGGATCACGTCTTTGTTGTCTTTGAGCCTGGTTCTTTGAAAAGACTAATAAAGTTGATAAAACCTTTAGCTCTTCTGATTAAAAGAGGGCAGAAAATCAAATCAATAAAATAGAAAATAGGAAAGGTAAAAATCACAACAAACACAGAAGAAATGAAAAGGATAATCACAACATACTATGTACAGTTTTATGCAAAAAACACAAAAGAACCAGAGGAACACCTCCAAAAAGGTGACATACTCAAACTATCAGAAGCCAGGAAAATTCTATCAAATTTGTAAAGAGCAGTTAGTGCCCATGCTTTACCATACACATACCACTCCTCTCTGGTTCTTGTGGCCAAGCTCTCCGTTGTACCAGGTCAAGGTCCAGGAAACCCTTCACCCCTTCACGCTGAGTCTTGTCTGGACAGGATTGGAGCAGAGGCCTGAAGGGCGCCCCCCCCCCCCCCCTTGTCCTTTGCAGGGCTGCTGGTGCTGCTCATGTCCTCCTGCCTCAGCTCACACAAGCCTTCCCAGGTCTTCCTGAAATCCTCTCCTTTACCTGTTCTTAGGTCCAGGCAATAAACATTTAGAAAGGCCCTTCTCTGCACCAGGCAGTGTTCAAAACTTCCCTGGATACAAAGGAAGGAAAAACCAGGGCCCGCCATCAAGGAGCTCCCAGTCTAATGTGGGAGATGACATGTTAGCAGCTGTGATCAAACAAACTCTCTACAGTAGAGAAGGGAAGTACTCTGAGAGGGAAGATCTAAACATTTTGGGGACCAGGAAAGTAAGTTTTCAGAAGGTGAGACATCAGCAGAGTCTTGAAAGAAGCCAGGAGGCTGAGCCAATGCCCCTGGTGAGAGAGGAGGAGGAGAGTAAAGTGTAAGATGACTGGTTGTGTGCACCTACTGTGTGCCAGGCACCCAATAAATTTTACCTCATGTGATCCCATGTTGCAAGAATTGTCAGGGTCCCTCTGGTGACAGCCTGAAAAAGGCAGTACAGGATCCAGCCAGGAGGTACATATCCACTCAAAGGTTGACATACACCGTGAGTAAGGGACAGATACCAGCGATCTTCAGTTCCACAGATGTGGTGTGTGTGTGTGTGTGTGTGTGTGTATGTGTGAGTGCATGTGGTGTGTATGCATGTGTGCACATGTGTGAGTGGTGTGTGTGTGTGTGTGTGTGTGTGTGTGTGTGTGTGTGTGTGAGTGAAAGTATGGGCACTAACTGCTCTTTACAAATTTGATAAAATTTTCCTGGCTTCTGATAGTTTGAGTATGTCACCTTTTTGGAGGTGTTCCTCTGGTTCTTTTGTGTTTTTTGCATAAAACTGTACACAGTATGTTCTGATTATCCTTTTCATTTCTTCCGTGTTTACTGTGATTTTACCTTTCCTATTTCTATTTTATTGATTTGATTTTCTGCCCTCTTTTAATCAGAGGAGCTAAAGGTTTTATCAACTTTATTAATCTTTTCTAAGAACCAGCTTTTAGTTTTATTTGTCATTTCTGTGATTTTCTTTATTCTAATTTATTTCTCTATTTTTTAAATGTCTTCTCTTTTGTGCTTATTTTAGGTTTGTTTGTTGATTTTCTAATTTTTAAGGTGCATATTCAATTTATTAATCTCTTCTGTATTCTTAAGGTATGATTATAAGGATATATTTTCCCTTTGTCGACTGCTTTAGCTGAAACCCAGAAATTAGGGTATTGAGGAAAATTAATTTAATGCTGTATCATTTTATTTATATTAATTTGTAATATTCCCTTCTCTGTTCAAAAGGCCATTTCTTATGTTAGCTTAAACAGAAACCCTTCCCAGCACATTTTAGCTGAGGAATTTAATTTACTCACAGGCCTCAGGACATCTACCTGGACATGCACCATCCCATAAACCAAAGTAAGGACAGAGACTCTGTAAAGAAAAGCCAGCTGAAGCCAGATCTTTTCCCAAGGACTTGTTACCTTGTCCTTGCTACTAACCTCATGAAGATTTGGGATGACCTGGTCTAGAAAAGAGAGACTGAGCCAGTGAAAACCTGATTGAGATTCCTTATGTTTTTCTAGCCAAAGATTGTTAGAGAAACCAGCTCACATAGCATTTCTTAAGTGCCACAGAGGGGCAGGTCAGCCATATTTGAAATCCATTTCCCACCACCCCAGCCCCCAGCCCCAGCTATGTATTGCCAAGCAGCCTTATTTACTGCAGCTTAAATTAGTTTTGATTTGGATTGGTTTAGGGTTAGGGTAAGTCTCAAGTTCCATTTATATATAAGTATATAGTAAAGGCATTTATTGTTAAGATAGTAAAATAGGATAGAGTTAATAAGTCCCAACAGGTAACAGTAAACAAACTTAAGTCTCAATCAGCATTGAATCTTGTCACAATCAGTGATCACAGTCAGGAGAACCATCTACACCTGGATCACATGGGCTGGTTTTCCACCTCCACAGTCCCAACAGGAAAATCCCAGGCTTCACGCCTGCACCTTGGGAAGACTGGAAGGTGAAGGCGGGGCTACCTGCTTCTGGCACTTCCTTCTAACAAAGTAGGCAGTTTGCCAAAATAAACATGGGATCGGTGGGGAAGGAGCTGCTCTCAAAACTATCCTTGAGAGTATTCCTGTTTATGAATATCCAGTTCCTGGAGGGGTGGTCAGCCCTTCCTGGGAGCAAATACCATAAAGGGTCCTTCTACATCTAGCTAGGAATAAGATTAACATGAAAAAAGAGTCAGAGTAGAATTGCAGGCATACTGAGGCAGGTCAGAATGTCTTTTCTGAATTATTCATCACAAGCTGTAGTAAAGCTATAGGGACCCTGTATCCACAGGAGCTGTCCTTTACATGCACCTCTCAGTAATGGGGAGAAGCTGGGAACTCTTGGCCCACCTCCTCATTAAAATGTCCTCAATTGCTAGGGGAGTCCCCTGTGATGTGCTGTCAGGCCAATCAGAAGGAGGACAGAGCCAGGGATAAAACCCCCAGCCACCTCTTTCTTATTCCTGATCTTTTGGCACACAATGGAGGCGAGCCATTAAGGCCCCTTTCTTACCAGGTGCACACCAACCTCACAAAGGCTATCTCGCTAAGATAATTGTCTCTGCTTGTCCTTTGTTAAATTCCAGCCTCCACACTTTGTTATTTCACCATTTTCATTTTCTTTCCCAATGTTCTTCACCATTTCTGTGATTTGTTCTTTGACTCAGTCATTCTTTAAGACATCATTGTTAAATCTTCAGTTGGGTTTGTATCCTTTGTTTGTGATCACTGAACCAATTTCCATTCTTATTTCATCATGCAATGAAAGGACATATGGATTATTTCTGCCTTACTACATTTGTTTGCACTAAGTGTCTCTGTGCCCTGGTACATGGTTAATTTTTGTAAAAGTTCCATATGGTGCAAAGAAATATGCCTACCCCTCCTGGAGGCCTCTCTTATATACCCTGGGAAGCGTGGGTGTTCCCAACAGGAGGCAGTCAACCTGGATTGCTTAACAAGCCATGAGAATGAATATTCTACTGAGAGATGGACTGTTCTAATGAGAGGTTGGGGGGTGTGACTGTGATTCCGGCACTTTTAATCCCAGACCACCCCCAGCCTTCTCACAGACTTTACTTTAGAATATAACCCTTACATCAGTTCTGATAAGGAAGAAATTTCACATCACCCTCTCTCTTTCTCCTCTAGATAGAACACAAACTTTCTCCCTGATTCCACAGGGAGCCCCATTCCATAATAAGCTTTCTTCTAACTGATGACCACATAAAATGCTTTTCTCAAAATTCCATTGGGCTCTTACTGACTAAGGTTTCAACAGTTGAGTCTGACACTCAGAAAGGGTATGACCTTTGAGCTCATCTCTTCTCTGGGCTTCAAGTTTCCTCCTATGAATCAATGAGGATTGGACTGTTTTCCTCTGCAGTGTCTTTCAGCTCTATGGCCTATGACTTTTGTTGATTTAGGAGACAGTGACATTCAAGGATGTGGCTGTGGACTTCACCCAGGAGGAGTGGGGCCTCTTGGACCATCCTCAGAAGGAGTTGTACAAGGGGGTCATGCTAGAGAATGCCCGGCACCTGCTCTCCCTGGGTAAGGACACTTCCCCTGGTAACTCTGAGTCTGCAAGCAAAGGGGACGTCTTCATTCCCCAGTGTGCGGGGTTTGGAGCCTCTATCAATTATTAGAGAGAGAAAAGTGTTGGTCACCTCTGGCCAAGAGACATGCTGCCTGGTTCTCCTATAAAAAGTCTTTGCATTCTGTGCAAGGAGCCTGAGGGTTTCCTCTGCTGCACCTGATGTTGTCTCTTACCAATTCTAGCTAGCTTCAGGTCAGAGATCCAATCGGTGTGGAAGAATCTCAGACGTGCAACTAATCTCGGGGGTTATTTGGTCTAGCCTCTAGCTGGACGTGAATTTTGTCTGCCAAATCTCTGAGAACTGCTCAGGCAGCTTTTCCTTGCAATCCCTTCCACTTTGGGATGGGCCTAGTATTTGGAAGAGTCTTCTATTTAACAAGCAGACATCAGTAGCTCATAGCTCTGTCTTGTGGCCTGTGTACAGATGTGTCCTTCATCTTCCTTCATGTTGCCCCAAAATTCCAGCACAGATGGTGGCAAAGGAAGGGAAGGGAATAGGCATTTATATTCACCTGCTATTTGCCATGTGCTGGGAAAAGTGCTTTCCTCACAATATTATGTCACTTTATCTTCACAATAACCTTCGAAGTTGGGTGACATTATTATACCCATTTTACACTTGGGAAACTAAGGTTAAGTGGCTTGTCCAGAGGCACACTACTAACTGACTGAAGCCACATTCAACCTCAGGCAATCCTGACTCCAGGCCCAGGGCTCTCTCCACTGCACCGTCAACTGCCTCTGATTTCTAGACAATAGAAACTATGCAGTGAGTCCATCCTTCTATGAAGAAGGTGCACAAGATCAAATTCTCTGACTCCAAACAGGTTCCATGATTTTTCCGCCCCCCTCACCCAAAGGGGCAAACACTTCCTGAATGAACAGTACACAAGGTTTCTATAGGTCTCAGGAAGTAAGGAGCCAGTACAGCAGGACAGGGCAAAGGGTGATTCATCAAGGTCCCTGGAGCTGGGGCACAATTACCCTTTTACCCAGTTTGGGTGTGAAGAGTTTCTGCCAGAACAGCGGAGCATAACAGGATGGGGGGCAGAGGGTTTGGCTGTTTCTCAGAACAGGCTGTAAACACATCCTATTTTGGGTTATTTGCATCACAAACTCTGATGGGTCAGTATGTGACCAGAATGGAGTGATTCTCAAAGCGGAGCAGCTCTGTATCTATACTCTTTTCCCTAAAGTGAACTAAATTACAAATTTCTCTGCATGCTCATCCCTAACTGACTCCCATGCCCAGGGCTTCCAGTTCCCAGAGAAGATGTGGTCTCTTATTTTGAGCAAAGGGAAGCACCATGGATGCTGGAGCAAGAAGACCTGAGGAGCCGCTGTCCAGGTGAGTGAGGTGAAAGCAAATATGCGGGACCTGTGATTACAAGAGGCTGCTATGTGCTATAGTGAAGCTAGTGCTAGATTTGGGGGCAGGAAGACCTGGCTTGGAATTCTATTTCAGATTTTTTTTCGCAATGGCTTCCTGGGCCAGTCACTGAAACATGAAGCCTCAGTTTCCCTACCTATAAAATGAGGGGGTTAGATGCCATGGCCTTTCAGCTCCCTTCCAGGGATAAATCTATCATCTTAGAACAAGTTGTTATTTGGAATTTGGGCGCATGGAATCTCCCGAAAGCGCCAAAAGAGGTTAGACTCTCCAATATATGCACTTTCTTAGACCTTCTTCAAGGAAACAAACATTTATTAAGTGCCTCCTGCATGTCAGGCCCACTGCTAAGCACTGGGGCCATAAAGAGATACAAGGAAGGGGAAGCAAGGTGGCGCAGTGGATAGAGCGCCAGCCCTGGAGTCAGGAGGACCTGAATTCAAATCTGGCCTCAGACACATAACACTCACTAGCTGTGTGACCCTGGGCAAGTCACTTAACCCCATTTGCCTCATACAAAAAACAAAAACAAAAAAAAAGAGACACAAGGGACATCCCTGGCTCTCATGGAGCTCAGTCTGTTGGGGTAGACAACACCCCAACAACTATGCAGAAAGCCAGTATGGACAGGATAAATTGGAGCTGGTTAAGAGAGGGAAGGCCCTAAAGTGAAGGAGGACTGGAAAAGGTTTATTGTGGAGGGTGGGCCCTAGCTGGGGCTTCAGGGAAGCCAGGGCGAGCCTTCTAGGCAAAAGTGATATTGAGACAAACCCCAGGAGCCAGGAGGTGGAGGGCACTGTTCACAGAACAGAAAGGAAGCTCATCTCACTAGATTATAGCATATGTGGGGTGGGGGGGGGAATGGGGTGAAAAAGGACTGGAAGAGTGGGAGAGGGGGAGGGGATGAAGTGCTGGAGCCCCCCTAGGGAGGATTCCATATTGGATCCTTCTGCTGGGGAGCCAGAAGACATTGTGGAGTACATGGGGACATGGTCACGTGCGAGTGTTAGGAAGATGAAGTGGACGTCTAGGTGGAGGGCTGACTGGACTGGGGGGAGTCTCTGAAATACTCAGGTGTGAAGTGATTGGGACCCAAACGAGGAAGATGACAGTGTTGGGAGAGATGTCACACAGGCGGAACTATGGGACCGTGCAGCTGATTGAACATGGGAGTCAGGAGGGTGAATGTGTGAGAGTCGATGAGGAGTGCATGACACTTCATCTCTGAGCCTGGACTATTGGAGGGATGCTTCAGATACGGTTAGGAATGTAGGCAGATGGGAGGGTTGGGGGAAGGAGAGTGAGCTTCATTTTGCACATGGTAGAAGGAGGAACAGGAGAGAGTAGTGTCAATAAAACTTAGAGGGGAAAGTATCAAGAAAAAGGGGTGACTGACAGTGGCAAAGCCTGCAGAGAAGCCAAGAAGAATGAGGATCAAGAAATGGCCATTGAATTTATCAATCCGAAGATTACTGGTAATTTTAGAGA